AGAGAGGAGGAGGAGGGCACTGCAAACCTGGTCCGTTTTCGCCAGCGTGTCCCAAACCGACACTGGTCGAGACGAAAAGTCAAAGACGAACCAGGGGAGGCGAAATCTTCGAAGCCTGCCAAGAGCCACATGAACGAACCATCGGGCCCTTCAACCCAGAAGTGCCCGGAGCAGCTCTCACGGAAAACGCGGAGGGAATGCGCAACCCAGTCGGCCTGCCGGTTTCCCTTAGTCACCTTAGCAAAAGCAACGTGGCCAAGTCCAGGGAGGCCGCGCGGAGCAGCGCGAGAACGCCAAGCAGGGTGCACAGCACGGGAGAAAGAGGAGCACGGCGGTGAAGCTCCAAAAGAGAGGAAAACTTTTGCTCGGAGGAGCAACTCAATCATCTTCTGAACTGACGGATTGTCAAGGTCCTGTCCCGGTCCGTGCTGAATGTCGAAAGTGAGGATCCAAGCAGCTCCGCGAGCTGCCAGACCACGAGCAACGCCAGCACTCCCAGTGAACAAGTCCAAAGCACCCTTCTTCGTGAAGTCCAGCGAGCCGCGCCTCGGGAAGAACTGCGAGCGGGGCAACCCGGCCAAGACCGCCAAAGCTGAAGAGGCCTCGTGAGGCGAGAGACCTGGAGGAGCTGCAACGGCAGGGCAGACCGGTACGCCTGAGGCCTTAAGAGCTCTATTCCTCCGAGCGCGACGAGCCTTACCTGAACTCCAACCCAGCACACTCGGCGGAGGCCTGCGACTCAACTTTGGAACGGAATTCCACGACTCGGCGGAGGCAAGTCGGGGCAGCTGGTCCACCATCTCCGGCACAAAGGTTTCCTGAGCACGCTGCGCCACAACTTCCGGTTGCTGTCGGAGCCACTCCTCAAAAGGAGCAGGGTCGCCTCTGGCCAGAGGAAGAAACCACGCGGGCAGGGCTTTGCACGGATCCCGAATGTCACGCGAACGAGTGCCGTCATCCGACGGGTTGTCGGCGGAAGCCAAAAAGGCCAAACCCAGGTAGATGTCACTGCCAACCATGGTTGCAAGGGACATCCTGAGCAAGGTGTTCAGCCCCCCAGAAGCGGACCGTCCCTTGAGCGCAGCACCTAGAGTGACCTGAGAATCGATGCCGACCAGCAACCGCACGCTGCTCAACGTTCGGGCGACGCGTCTCTCAAGCTCCAGGAGCGCACGCAACTCCTTGATGTTGATGTGTTGGCCGATGGAAGCAGGCAAAACCCAAGCAGTGCGAAACTTCAAAGACTGTGCCAGCTCACGCCACAAAGGGAACGGAGTGTACGACTCACCGGAGGGAAGCTCAGCACTCTCACCGAGAAGGCCTTTCGACCTCAGCCAAGCCTGCGTGGGCGGCAACAACCTGTTCCAAGCTCCTTTGACAAGAGTGTGCCTGTAGCACTCGTGCGCCACAGCCGGCGGCAGCTCCGCAACCGCACAAGCAATCTTGTCATCAGAAGCGTCGGTGGTGAAGAACGTGTCGCACACCTGAGCCCTCAAGTTGGCCACGCAAACCGGAGCAAAGAGAACCCACGACCAGAGCTCATCCGTGAGCGAGGCGCTCAGCCGAATCACATCGCCGGGCTTTGTCGCCCGCAGCGCCTGGAAGGCAACATCAATCAGGCAAAGGGCACGCCTGCGCATAAGGAAGATCGAAGTCCAAGAGCCGATCAAACTCTCGAGCAGGGACCGAGAGATCAACCCCAACGCGGCGACCCGAGCAGTCACGAAGGCGACCGGCCACACACGAGAAGGATTGGGCCTCAACAGACCGTCGTCGCCCGAAAGCTTGGCCCCCCAAAAGGATGCAACAGCAGCGTCCCGGACACCCTTCTTCGGATTGGCTTCAAGCTGGGCCTCGCCGTAAGCAGCATGCACCGAATCGAGCCGGCGAACACCCGGAGCGTCCGACCTGCCCTCCCCACAGCCACGGAGGCAGCGCTCGAGAATGACAAGGTCATCGATCACAATGCCCACCGAGAGCAGGGAACGCGGAAAGGGGTGCGTAGGCAGGAGCATCTCTCGACTGTCCAGCAGTCCGAAATGATGGAGCACGCCAACGTGAGCGGCTTGTGCGTACTCGCAAGCACAACAGTCACCCATCCCCAAAGTCGAGATCGCAACCCGGACCCGGCGACGGCCGTCAGCGAAGCCAGAGCAGTCGCGCCCAAAGACCCACTTGGCCTCGGCCAGTGACAGGGAGCCACGGACGAGGTTCCTCTGAAGGCGGTCAGCCGTGACTGAAAACAAATAAAAGTAATCGCGTAAATCCGCTGAGGAAACGCGAATGCACTCCGACGGGAAGAGGACGAGCTGTAACAGACATTGAGGACCTGCTAAAGTGTCCGTCCATCTAGAGGGAGAGGTCTCCAGAGTGTTCGCTGGCCGACAATCAAGGATCAATCTGTCTCTGTTCAAGTCCTTCACGACAGAAAAGAGGCCTCCTGCGAACGCCAAGCGATGAGGCTCAGCACGCAACGGAAGGAGGCGCCCAGAAAGAGCCAGTTTGCGGAACAGGGCGAGCTTCTCACGGTGCGAAGCGAGGACCCGAACAGCGGGCGGCGCAGGCTCACCAGGCTCCGGGAAGCGAGCAAAGGAAGAAGGGTTCTCGAACCGACGACAGGTGTCGCGATCCAGAAAAGGAGCCGGGTTGAAAACCGGCGGGTCAGGAAAAGTCAAACGGTCGGCCTCGATCGTCTTGGCAGCGACGACGTCGGCCCGCTTGAGAGAGCCCACAACTTTCCCAAAGGAGGCAGACTCACCAGAAGAAGAAAGGTTTGCTCCTGCAGCCCGTGGTGCCTTAAAGGTGGCGCTGGAGACTTGCGTGTAACCTGGAGAAGAAAAGGAAGCCGCAGCACGAGACAGGGCAGCAAGGATCCTGTCTTGATCCTCGACTTTGGAAGCGGCCCGTCCCATCTCCGCAGCATCGATCGGAACAGAAAATTCACAATCCCAGGAAAGGCCCTCTATTGTACGAACCACCTGCCATTGTTTGGCGGACAGCTTGGTCCCAAGTCCACAAGAGGCGGGGCACTGAGCCGGGCTGCCCAGGTGAAGCCACGAAAGCAGAAGGACGATCAAGCAAACCTGAACCTTCCTCCAGCCTCGCGCTCCCCGAGCGCCACGCACAAAAACCTCAGGGTACGGAACCGGACAGGGCCACGTCTGGGACGCACGGGTCGGGGCGGTTCCCTCGACCGAAAGCGCGGTGCTAAGAAATGCAGCAAAAGGAGCACGTCCCTTCAAAATCCAAGACGGCAGTGAATTCCAAAAGCCAGGCACATTGACACTAGGGGCGGAGCCGCCAGGCACTCGTCGGCCCGGTTGCTCAGGAGTCACTTCTCCTCCTCGCCCCGCTTGCGATTCCCGCTCTTCGCCTTTGCCTTGGCCTCCAAGCGCGTCTGCTCCTTGTCCTCCTCGTCGCCTTGGTGCGGAGTCCGCCGGCCCAGGCGGGCACGTTTTTCCAGGAAGTCCGACTGATCGCGAAGATGGTGAAGCGCCACCTCCGCCCACCTGCCGTCCAAGATTCTGGACCACACCTGGTCGGCATCTCGGTCGCGAGACTCGTGAGCCTTGAAAGCGTGAAGAGGGCACGGGCTCTCCAGCGTCAGCTCGCTGGCAAGAGTCCAGCTGCCTCTGTCGGTGGCGACCTGGTCCATGCAAACCATGAGCACATTGAGTCGTGCCTCGCACTCGTCGTGAGCCTTTCTCCTGGCCGCGTCCAGCGCTCCTGCCACGCACCAGGCGGTGCGGGCCAGCGTTTGGTGCGGGCCTATGCGGCTCCTGTGCTCGAGCCACGCTCTGGCGCTCGGAGCCGCCTCGTAGCCCGGAGTGGACATGCTGTGAAGGTCCTCGCGCATCAGAGTTTCGACCGTCGTCGAGAGGATGGTCGGGTTGTCGATCAAAGCGGCTCGGAGAGCTCTGCGTGCAGCAGCGTTTCTCCTGAGGGAAGGCCCGGCTTCTTGAGAGCCAGAAGCGCCCGGACCTGCAGAGTCCAGCAAACCATCCAAGGTTGAGGGCTGCCGCTTCTTTCCCACCGCCAAGTTCTCCACCAGCTGCGTGAGCTTCACCAAGGCTTGCCCCACTGGGTCGGCGGGTTGCGCGGAAGCGACCCCAGCTGCTTCGACTTGTTCCTCCTCCGACTCCGAAAGAGGATTGGCCCTCTGCTGCGGAGCGGCCCGCCCTCGCACGCCTGGACCACCACTGCCTCCGACCAACCTGTTCATCTCTGAGAGCACCTGCTTCGAAACTCCGGCATCCAAGGCTGCACGCGACACGCCGGGGTCCAAGTTCGAGAACAAGCCGGCGTCGGCCGGCGCAGCCGGGGCAGGCGCCCTCTTTGCGCGAGGGCCTCGCGGAGGGGGATCGGCGGGGGCATCGGCAGAAACCCCTTGCTTGTCCAACAGAGCTTTCATCCCCGAAGCAACCTTCGACATAGCGTTTTCCAGCCGCTCCACGCGAGCGCTGATGCCTCCCCCGGCAGGTTCCGGAGGAGCCCCAGACTCGGCCGAAGCAAAGTGCCCCAGTCCAGGAAGATTCTCGACGGAGGCCACCAGGGAAGCAGCATGAGGAAGGAGCCCGACCCCATGAGCATCTTGAGCGAACGGCAAATCTGCCGCCACGGTGCCTTCGAAGGTCAGGCTTGGAACGAGGCTGGCATCCAAAAGGCCCACCCAAAGCTTCACCGTGGCGCCTTCCACCAGCAAGTCTCTCTCCTCGGGAGAGACAGCAGCGACCTCCACTGAAACCACCTTTGCCAGAGCGCCTCTCGCAAGGCGGCGATCGGCGAGCTTGCGAGCCCAAGCAGAAGACGGCACAGCAACCACCAGCTTGCCATCGGCCTCGGTCACCACGATCACCTCGCATGAGCCTGTGCCTTCCTCGCCTCCAGAAGCTAACGGCAGGAGCCCGACCAAGTAGTTCGAATCAGGCCCCTCAGGCTGAGCGACCGCCAAGTCACGAGGATCCAAAGGAGCCCCGTCCAGGTCGTCGCCCTCAGCCATCTCAGTCGTAGGTCACGGAAGGGAAGCCGGCCGCCGCGCAGACAGCGTCGACGTCAGCACGAGCAGGCAATCCCACGAAGACGGACTGTCCACAATCAGCCTGCCTTTTGCACACCTCCTTGGCCTTGGCAAAAGAAGTGAAGGCACGAGGAGGATCAAAGTTCTCCCCTTCAAAGCCCCGGAAGACAAGCCAGTATTTGGAGGCTTGCGCGATGCGGTCTCGGCCGCTTGCGCCCCTGTGATTACCACCAAGGGCACGGGTGATCCACAACCCGATCTCTCTGCACGCGTTGTCCCTCTCCGAACGAGGCAGCGGAGTGGCGGCCGGAGAGCTGCTTTGCTCTGCCGCGGGCCCGGAGGCCTGCAAGGGGGCCCAGTTAGTGCGAGCTGGGCGCTCAGGAGTGTAGACTGCCGGACTGGCCTGGCGCGTGGCGGGACGAGTCGGAGTGCTCGCAGTGCCCACCACTTCGTAGTCCTCCGCACCCACGCCCACAATGGCACGCAGTGCGCGAATCTCGCCCTGCAGTTGTTCAACCAGCAACTCAAGACGCTCCACGCGAGCCTGCATACACGAAAGGGTAGGGCCTAAACCGAAAGACCCCAAGCAGGGACTAGGGTCCTACCACAACCAGAAAGGCCTAAACCGAAGAGGCAGGGCAGGGGCAGCTAGCCCACACGGCCCGAAGGCCAGCAAGGGGTAAGTCCAAAGTCCAAAGGAAGGCCTAAACCCTAGGGGACCCAAGGAGGCACCTAGGGCGGGGCAGGACTAAACCAACCCTAAGGGCTGGGGAGGATGCGGAAGAAGCCGGGGCTCTGCAGTCGCAAAGCGAGCCCACGCAAGAGAGCGCTGCGCACCAGAAGCAGGGCCTCCAACAACGGGAGGAGCAGCACCCCACAGCCCAGGCCAAAGAAGAAAGAGCCCAAGTCCAAGTCAGGAAGGTCAGGACAGAGAGGGCACGCCTCGAGAAGAGGAGGGGCAGAGGAAGCCAAGAGGTGACTTAGCAAAGAGACCACGGAGGCCGAAGACAGACCAGACACGGACGACAAAGCGAAGTCTCTAGACATGCGCTTGACCCGAAAACTGAAGTCGTTCGTGGTGAACATGCTGGTCATGACTAATGCAAAAAACTACAAATATACTAATACTAAAATTAACACGAATACCAAGCTTAATGAACTAATGCCAAAAGCAACGCTAATACCAAAGGCGGCTGAATTTTCAGTTATCCGTGTAGATTGAACATCAGAAACGACAAATAGGAACCCTAATCAAAACACCGGATAGAAGGGGTCTACAACAACCGAACAAAGTAACAGCAAAGGTCGAAACAAAAATACAGCACGCTATGACGGTAGCAACCCCACTCCGAGGATAACAGTGTGAAGCTACAGCAACAGTAAGAGTTACCATCACAACGATGATGGTAGTGCCATCTGGCACGAAAGACAGAAGAATTCCTCAAAGATGCAATTCTAGTACGCATGTTGCGAGCAGCGTAATGTGCCAAGATTGTTGACAGTAATCGAAACTCTCGCGGAACCCTGAAACCCTTTTGCTGCAGGTTTCTCTCGCCCGGCACCTGCCCGGGACAGCCGTCCCTAAACCCCGAACCCCTCCTCTCTCCCAAGCACTCGAAACCCCCGAACCCTCTCTCTCTCTCTCTCCCAGGCATTCGAAACGCCCGAACCCTAAACCCCGAAACCTCAAGCCCCAACCCCTAAACCTCAACAACACCATCTCAGGGGGGCTCCGCAGCTTGGGGCTCTCTGAGGCCGCGTCTGCTTTCCGGAAAGATGGTGATCGCCACATTGAAGAGGAAGCTTACCTTTAGGGCTTAGAGGTTTTGTCCCTCCTACCTAGCAAAGACGCGAAGCCCGCTTAGTTAGGGCTTGCAAGACAAGGAGGATGAGGGCACGGAGCTGCCTTTCGCCTGTACTTTTGCACTCATCCATGTCATCGTCGGAAAAAACACCAGTGAAAAAAAAACTGATGTCCGTGCTCAATCTCGAGCTGCTGCTTGCAACAGCCTTCTCGAATTTCTCCTTGTCACCGTGCTTGCCCTAGTTTTATTTTTCTTTTTTGTTGTCTTTCTTTGACCTTTTGCGTTCGTGCTTGGCCGCCTGTGTTGTTCTGGTCGCATCAGCTGTTCGCCTCGTTCGCATCGGTTGGGACGGCTCAGCCCCCGCAAAAACCGGCCACATCTGCGGCTTCGCTGAGAGTTCATGACTAATATGGGGGCTTTAATAATTAGCATAGTGTTTTGGGACCCTTCATACTGTAACTACAAAAAGGAACCCCCAAACAAGCAGAGGTAATTATTAAGGCCCCTCTCGTAACCACGCCGTGTAGCTCGGGAACTCTTTAACATCTTCCCATGCTCTTGATAGGTATGCTGCGCAGGACGGCAGTGGAAAGTACAGCAGATCCGGGTGACTACTGCCACCGACATGGAGCGTGCCATGTAAGAGTTAGAAGACTCGAAATCCTCGTGAGCATCTCGACTCCAGCGAACCTCAAGCCATCCCAACCCCGACGATCCTGCCCAAAACAGAACGCAAGCCCTTCACCGCTGAAGGGCAACCAAAATAAACATAAACCCACTAAGGCCCCTATATTAGAGTATATACTCTTATAGTAGCCGTTTTGGGGACCCTTTTAATGGAACCCTTTTACACAGAAACCCACAGCTCCCCGACTTCCGGCGCGACTCTGGAGGCTCCCAAAGAATGCAGCCGCGCCGCCAGGCACAACGTCGAGAAGGCCTGGAGCAGCTAATCAGTGGTGATTTGGGCAGTTGTCAAAATTATGGCCCCTTTTTGGGTACCATAAATATGGGGTGCCGTATTATAACCAACCATTTGGGCTTAAGATTTAAAAAATTGCAAACTAGGACAAGCCAGGGTTTTGGGGTTTTGGGGCTTGGGAGTTTGAAAATTTCAGGGTTTACGGGTTGTTGCTTGCAGGGTTTAAGGTTTAGGCATGTGAGCATCAGGGTTTTGTGGATTTTGGGGGTTAAGGGTGCGGGGTTTGGGGTTGGATTCGAGATGCTGCAGCATCCCGAAACCCGGAATCGTAATCGTCCGAGTTCGGCCTTCTTAGCCAGGCCCCGAAACCAAATCCGTTTACAAAATGGGATTCGGACTTTTTGGGAATATAGGAGCCTTTATGGTACATAGTTTGGCTCTGGTTCTGGCGGACATGATGCTACAACACAGAATCTAGACCCTTTTGCAGATAGGCCTCGTGAGGTGTTGCCGGGTTAGCAGTGCGAGTCGCACCGAAGAACGAACAGTATTGGATACAGCTTGCGAGAGACACTCAGACCTGAATACCCTGAACCCTCTCTCTCGCTCTCTCTCTCACGCACTCGAAACGTCAAGCCTGGCTGAAGGGCTGCACTTGCAGCCCGGCGTGACCAAAAAAACCTCAAACCCCTAAACCCCTTCGAGTTGGGATTCACAAGTTGGGGCTCGGATGTCCAAACCAATGTCTCGAAAAGCTGAGGGTTCACCCCGTGGCTTGCTAGAAGGGCCGGAACAATTACTTAGTAAGTGTACATGCCTTCAGGAGCTCTGAATGAAATAGCGAACACTTGGCAAGCATATGCCTTAAGATTCCATAAATAACCAATGACACCCCACTGCCAAAACCCATTCGGTTCACGTGCAAACAGCCATCTCCATCTCCACTCCAAGTTTCTGAGGATGCACACACTATTGATCACTATTGTTTTCCCATGTAAGCTCATTCAGGCTTTCGACCAACCCTATTCTAGTTGTCGAGGCCGATATGTGTGCATGTCCTGTCCTTGAAGATGAGGACATCTGCACTATAACGCACCCCAAGACGGAATTCAATTTATTGAAGCCCCCATTCCGGTGCCTTGAAAATGAGGATGCCCTCCCGGTCACGGCGTGTGAATCCAACCTTGGCAGAGACCTTGGGACGCGGCTGTTTTTGGCCCCGAATGCGCGGGCATTTTGGGGATTGGTGGGCTCCTCAGCAAGTGCACCCCCAAAGGGTTCAAGGGCATACGATAAGGGTTCTTTTGGGACTTAAAGGGTTTGGAGCTTAGGGTTCAAAGGCTCAGAGCTTTGAGAGTTTCAGGGTCTCGGTTTCAGGAAATATGTCCGCAACCATGGAAACGGCAACAATACCGAGCACTGACTGATCGCAACATACCCATGATGCTTCTCAACCTGTCGTGCATGCAGTTTCCCTGACTTGTTCTCAGTGTTAGGACACAGGGCGAAGGGCCAAAGCATCACATTCGTCACCGTGGAAGCACATGTGCAGAAGCAGAGCGTCTTGTATAAGCATTTCTTATGAGACGAACCGCTGATTCATAAACCCCCCTTTCAAATCACTCATAATAGAGATTGAACAAGGGGGTATTGTATTGACGATCGGTATCCCGATCGGTTTATTGACGACAAAACCCTCGTGTCTTGTGAATCAACCGACATGTTGCTTTGACTAGTGGCTGGAAGGTGGAAAAGAACAACGTGCTTTGACAGACTGCGTGGTCCATCTAGATAATTGGAGAACAAAGGGCTCAGTCCAGCTTGCAGTACCTGAGATTCCTTAGCTCGGGCCGAGGCGAAGATATGCAGCAAACCGATCATCCAATTCACCTCATGGCTCGGCATCTTGGGGCTGCGTTAGATGGGAACTTGTGACTTGTGCTTGTTCGAAGTTTTTTACGGTTTCGGACCCTCACACTCGCACAAGGCAGGGTTTAGGGGGCTAAGGGGGTTTGGGGTTGCTTTAGATAGGGGCTTGCTTGGCCTCCAGCAATGGATCTGACAACTCATCTCATCGGGTTCGATTAGGCGTTGACGCTTTTGTAAAATGTTTCACACGGTTCCTTCTCGCGGCTTTCGCCGGCAAGTCGACTGAAAAGCAAACCGTAGTTCAGAACATCCCTCCATTCACAAAGGCTCCGGGTCACAGAGTCATGAATACTGCAGGGGCCGTTTTGATTAGAATAGGGGTTTGGGGGTACATTATACTGTAACTGTAAGAAGGAACCCCGAAAACCTGTTCTACTGATCAAGGCTCATATATCATAGAACCCTACTATACATCCACCCTTTAAGGAACCCTATTCTAATTATTAAGGCCCCTACATTACATGAGCCCCACTACCAGCCTGAAAGTTAGGATGTCAACTCGACCCCGCCCCTGAAACAGGACAGACTGAACATCGCCCCACAGCTCTCATAAAATGGTGATGGTACATACCAGGTTCTACAATTACCTAGAAGAAACTTAGGCCCGGATAGGATGATACGTACCACGTTCTATACTTACTTAGAGACTTAGCCCCTACAGCTCTCACTATATGGCTACGATGCGCACCCTGGTTGCTTACAGGCCCCTCTATCAGGGAGCGGCTCGGTTGAGGATCATTCGGCTTCCAGGGCTTTCAGCTCGCATCGAAAATGGAAACGTCGGAAGGTGGCCCCGAGTTGCATGATGAAGAACCCTTTTGCAACAGGCTTTCCGCTTCTCCCGGAGTTGGAGCCAGCGGCTTCACTGCGGAGCCAACAATCCTAAACCCTAAACTGCCTAAAGTCTTGAATGTTCCAAGAGAGAAAGGTGCAAAGGTGGCAAATGCTTCCAATGAACTGGGGAGTAAGTCCTTCTAGTTTTGCGTTGGGTTTTGTAAGTTTTAGTAGGGCTGTTGTGGGTTTAAGTATTGAGGCTCTTGTACCGGTTTGCGCCTACTTTGACTAGAAGCCAAGCTCGCCACCGAAACCCAAGCTCCGTTGTGCCATTGAACTGCCAATCTATGAAATCTGAAGCCAGCACCACATTAAAGTACACCCTAAGCTCAAAGCCAGAACCCCAAGCCCACACAGGCAAACCCGCATGCGATGAGATCCGCAGGTTTCCAGTTTGAAGCGCTGGACTCCGAAACCTTTCTGCACAGGGGCCGTCATCACCAGAATGCCCATCACCGACCTGACCCGAAGCCCGGGTTCAGGGTTTACGGTGTAAGGTTTAGCGCTTAGGGCTTAGGGTTTCGACGATTAAAGGTTTAGGGTTTGCGGCTTAGGGTTTAGGACCAGGGCTTTGGAATCGCAGTTCGGAGATTAAGTTTTTAGGC